GGTGGGCGCCGCCGCCGCGATGCTGGGTGTCGTGGAGCTACTGCTGCTCGGGGCGGTGTGGCTGGCGGGCCCGGCCCGGGGGCAGAATGAGACGGAACCCATCGTGCTGGAGGGCAAGTGCCTGGTGGTGTGCGACTCCAACCCCACGTCCGACCCCACGGGCACAGCGCTGGGCATCTCTGTGCGCTCCGGCAGCGCCAAGGTGGCCTTTTCTGCCATCAGAAGCACCAACCACGAGCCCTCCGAGATGAGTAATCGCACCATGATCATCTACTTCGACCAGGTGAGCGCTACGCGTAGCCTGGACTGGTAGGGGGTGGGGGAGAGGCGGAAGGTGGGCGCCCCTGTTCCCCAAGGTCTCTGCGGAGGCGCGGTGGCAGAGTTCGGATTGACTCTCGCCTGCTCCCCTCCGCCCCCGTCTCGTTATAGGTACTAGTGAACATCGGGAACAACTTTGATTCAGAACGCAGCACTTTCATCGCCCCGCGCAAAGGGATCTACAGTTTTAACTTCCACGTGGTAAAAGTCTACAACAGACAGACCATCCAGGTCAGCCGCCGCCTCCGGGCCAGGCCCGGCCCGGGTAGGGGGCTGCTAGCCGCGGGAGTGAGCGGCCGCGGGGGAGTGGGAGAAAAGAGGAGCAGCTAGCTGCACGGCCCGTCCGGCTGAGTAGCAGGGCCTCTTGCTTCGGTGGCTTGGGCTGCCCCTTGCTTCTCCTGCCTTTGGCTCTTGGAACCTAATCCCCTCCCCAAAGACAGAGGTTCGCTCCTCCGGCCTTCTGAGCCCCCCAAAGAGGTTTCTCTTGCGCTTTCCTCTGAGACTGCAGGGGTTTCTCGTAGAGGTTGCATTAGCATCACAGGCACTTCCCGCTGCGGACAGATTTCCCTGACCCCCGCCCTTCAGCACCACGGACAGTACCCCGACCCCTAGTTCCGGCTCCGAAGCCGGCAGGACGCCGATGCGCCAGCCTTGCGCACGGCGCTCAGGTGGCCGCCAGCGTTCCTTTGCGGACCTGCTCTGGGTCCTGGAACTAGCGGCGCGGAGCCCGAGGGGGTGAAGGGTGGAGGAAGAAGGGAAGGGGCGTCGTGCCACTCCCTCCCGGCTCCAGTCTCGTCCCAGCCCGCTCTCGCTGGCTCCCCGGGTTCTCGAAGGTGTCTAGGTTTCCTTTGGGGTGAGACCGAGATGGAATGCGCGGCTGGGAAGAGGGGGCGCGCGGGGCCCTTGGCTGCCGAGGCCACCGCAAGGGCAAAACCAGGCGGCAGGTGCGGGGAGCGGCCGGCCGGAGCTGGACAGGAACTGAGCCTGGGGTTTGGGGATGGAGCGCGGAATGCAGCTCTGCGCCAGATTTCTCTTTAGTCCGAAGCCTCGCCCGGCTCCTCCCCCGGCTCCTCCGTGTCCGGCCAGGCAGCTAGGAGCTGGGGGAGCCAGGTTTTTTGTGTGTTTGTTTTCCCAGGAGCACCAAGAGCGGGGTTGTCTGAGTTTCAGTTTGAGCCTTGGGGGTGGGGTTGAGGGGGGAGGGGACTAAGGTGTCAGGGCGCTTGAGCCACCTATGGGTCCCTCAAATTGAATTTAAAAAAAAAAAGCGCCCTCAGGATGCGATGGGCGAATGAAGGTGACTCAGGTGCGGGGCAGACCCATCCTCTCATCTAGATGGGCGCCTTTTGTCCCCACTGGACCCTCGGCAGTAACCTGCAAAGCCCCTTTTCTAACCCCCCCTCCCCGCGCCTCCCTCCCGCTTCCTGGCCTTTAAGGCTGTGAGCTCAGCGCGCAGGTCCCGTCTCTGCTGCCTCTTCGGTACCATCTTGGCTGCCACCCTGAAGCGAGCCTTTCTCTCTCGCAGGTGAGCCTGATGTTAAACGGGTGGCCGGTGATTTCAGCTTTCGCCGGTGACCAGGACGTGACCCGGGAGGCCGCCAGCAACGGAGTCCTCATCCAGATGGAGAAAGGCGACCGGGCCTACCTCAAGCTGGAGCGGGGCAACCTGATGGGCGGATGGAAGTACTCGACCTTCTCCGGGTTCCTCGTGTTTCCCCTCTGACTGCCTCGTCTCCGGAACAGGAGGCCGGGAGCGGGCGAGGCAGGAGGGGGGGTGGGGGGGATGAGCAGGAGGCCGACATGTAAAGGACTCGAAACTCCCCCCCACGTAACGCAACTGTATCCTGCGAAAGGCGCGCGCAGGCGGCCCGCGGAGGCGGTGGGAGGACTGTGTCCGGTTACTCATTTGGAGAAGTAGATCCCAGCTAGCTCTGCGCACTCCCCTTTCCAAAATTAAGCTGCCTCCCCCTTCCAGTTGCAGTGTCGGAGGAAGAGAGACCGCCTCGTCATCGGTCCTCACCGCCCCCCTGTCCCCGTCCCCCACGAGTTACCGAAAAAGAAACTTTGTATTTCACTGTAGAACGGGAAATGCCTTCCCTCCCGGGTCCCCTGCTGAAATCCAATGCGCCCCTCCCCCATCTTAGCCGACAGGGGGGTAAGTTTGTATTTTTATTTTGTGGCGGAGGCGGCGGCTTTTCATTTGGAGAGTCCTGCTCTACTCACAACACCGCTCAAGAGTCCATTAGCTGAAGATACTTCGTCCTCGGCTGCTGCTTAGCAGAGAAAGGACTCACCTGGGTGGTGACTGGTTTAAAATATATATATATAAATATATATATCATTTGTACACGAAGGACTTCCCAGTGGACACCGGCCGTGTTTCCGTATTTCTATGTCCCCATTCGGAGTGATCGTGAAACCCAAGGCTGCTTGATATTCCGACGCTTGTCGACCCCCTCGTGTTCTGTGGCTCCAACTAACCACCGCCGGGAGGTTCCTCCGGGCCCTTCCGAGTCCGTCCTCTGTAACATACGTGTGAATAGCCAGGAGTTCAATTTGCTTTCATCCAATAAAGTTGAAGTGGGACTTTTCTTTTTCTGACACCGCTTTCTCAACTCCGCATCTCCCCCAGCTGCGAGGTTTGAGGGTCGGGGTGCAGAAGGGCGAGGCTCCGAGAGTGTGGGAGTCGGGGCTAGCCTGCGACCCTGCAACCAGGTCAGCTGCCCGGGCTACCGTGCCCAGCCGCCCAAGCGCGCGCCTCCCCGCACCAGGCCTGGGGCCAGCCCTGCACTCGCCTGTGTTCCCTGCTTTGGCGCGAACATAAGAAATTTGACCGAAATCTTACTAGGCCAGGCGGGGCTGCCGGCCCGGAAGCTTTTTCGAAGTCCACGCGCACTGGGAATAACGTGAATCGCAGGAGCTGGAACCCGCTGCCCGGAGGGGCGCGCTTCCCACGCCTTTGCCCCCGGGCGGCTCCCGCCGTGCGCTCCCGCCGCGCTCCCCCCGTTCCAAGCAGCGTTTCCTTCCCGCCGCTCTAAGTCCAGGACCTGCCCTCCGTACCGGTACCGGCCCGGCACCCGGGACTGGCGCTCATCACGGGGCTTTTGGTCAAGAGGTTCCTTTAGGAGTGTTGATTGTACGGAACAGAATGTGAAAGCAAAATTGAAATAAACGACGTCGTTTTAAATCTGGAAGTCTGCCCCAGTCGCTTGGGCAATGGGGAGGTTGCGCGCGCCGGGAAAACTGGTGGACCGGCGACTATGAGCCTCCGGGCGGGACCCTTGGCCTAGATGGCCCCATGGGCTCTGGTCCTTCTACAGGCTTTTTTGTTTTTGTTTTTCCTTCCCGCCCGAGATTCAGGGATGAATTTCATTAGCTCGTGGGGGTGGGAAGAAGGGGGAATTACAGTGTAATAAGCAACGTATCTCCGGATGGAGAGATTCGCGGAGCAAGCGGCCTTCCTTGTGTCTCCTCTGCTACCAGTCCGGGCACATCCCCAGCGGGCGCTCTGCCGCCCCAGCGCCCAGGCCCAGGGAGGGGGTCGGTAGGGACTTGGGAAGTGAGCCACCGACGGAGGGCTTTTCTCTTCCCGCCTCGCAGTTCCCCTCCCCGCAGGTCAGCCCCCAGGGAAGCGGAGGTGAGGTGGAGTAGGAACTTTCTGTTTAAAAGCGCACAACAGGATTCTTTTGAAATAGAGACGCTTAGAGATGTTTTCCCCGCATTCCTGGGCTCCACCCAGACCCAACCCACCCCTCTGCCCTCGCAAAGCCAGGTTCCAGCCTCTGTGCGCCCAGGTGCTGCCAAGGAGAGGAGGGGCAGCAGCCACTGCCCCAGGAAGCTGCGCCCAGATGCGCTGGGAGCTCAGTGGCTGCAGATGGGTGGTCACCCCTCTTCCTGAGGAGGGGACCTTCCGGGTGGTCCAGGCTGTGCCCCTTCTGGGTGACTTTGGCAAGCCCCCTCTTGGGGCTCGGTTTGCCCGTGTGTATAAAGACAGAGAGGGGGCTAAACACCCCCCAGAGCCCCCCCTGTTCCAGGCCCCAGCTGGCCGGTTACCTGCCTGGGTTTAGTGAGTCCTGACTGCAGCCGGCGCCGACCCGGCTCCCAGGGGCCAGGCCTGGGGCTGGGCCTGAGCCCGGGGGAGGCCTGTGCAGCCAGGCCTGGCCCTCACGCTCACTTTGAGCCCCTGCCTGGGGCCTGGGAGCTGCACACCAGGGCGCACGTGGGCTCCCCGTGGGACAGAGGGGAGCGTGATCCTTGATGTGGTCTGGGTCCGGGTGCTTCCCTAAGCCCTGCCCTTGGCACTGGAGACCCTTCTCAGTCTGGTTCCAGTCACTTCTGCCTGCGGATCCCTTCCCTCTGCCATTCAGGGGAACCCCCCCCCATCACCATCTTTGTGCCCCTGTGCCCCTGCCCCGCTGTCTCTCTGCTTCACGTTGAAGTCCAGTCTCTCTCCTCTGCTTTGCAAACGCCGAGTCTTTCTGGGAATTCAAGCAGCTCAGCTGCCAGGCTGCCTCCTCGGGAAGCAATCCTGTCCATTCGCACAGGCCCTGCCTGCCCCGGGCCACCACCCAGCCCTCCCACCAGGCCCGGTGGGGTGATGGGTTTCACAGGCGGGGGCTGCCCTCATCAGCAAGTGCTCAGAAGGGCTGAGCTGCACGCCTGCCCCGAAGGCTGTGGGGAGGGTGGGGTTCCCCACCCCGAATCTGCCTCACCTTCAGGCCTGAGCCTCCCATTGGCCTGGGTGAGGCTCCTCAGAGACCTGGAGTTAGAGGCCTCTCTCGGCCCAACCCTTGGCAGCTGGGCCCTCCCTCAGGTGGTACTCACCCTGGTGTGCTGGGGGTTGAGAGGGAGAGAGAGAAGGGGCCTCGGGCCTCCAGAGACCGCCCGCCCCAACCAGAGGCTCCCCTCCTTTCCTCTGAGAACCCTCTGCCCCTTCCAGACCTGGGCCCTGCCTCCTGCTTTCTTCTCAATCAAATCCAACCAGAATAGAGCCTTTAGGGGTCCCAGGAGCACCCCCTCACCCAGCCTCACCCTCAGGCTGAACGACTCCTCCCTGCCGAGGTCACCTGGGCTCCTCCCTTTCCTGCTGCCTCAGAAGTAAATGTCGCCTCCTCCGGGAGGCCTTCCTCACCCCAGATCGGAATAGCGGTCCCCCTTCGGGCCCCCTCTTTGGAGGGGGGTCTCTCTTACCACCTGCCTCCTCAGCTCCCAAATGTGAGGGGTGGCCTAGAGGTGTCCAGGGTGTCCCACAGGTGGTTCCCTGGGATCCAGGCCTCCAGGAGTCTGCCTCCCCCTCCCCCATTCCCCCGCCCACTCCCGTTCCCCGCCCAGCTCCCATTCCCCGCCCACTCCTATTCCCCCGCCCACTTCTCATTCCCCGCCCACTCCTATTCCCCGCCCACCTCTCATTCCCCGACCACCTGCCCATTCTCTGTCCGGCCGCCAAGGTGGCCTTGGTCCAGTCCTGATTTGCTTTCCACAAAAGAGCGAATATGGACCTCCCCAGGGGAGGCCCGGGGAGGGAAAGCTGGGTGCACCTGCTGTGAGCCAACTCCTGGGGAGGAGAGTCCCCGGAGCAAGGACAAAGGTCTCGGGTGGCAGCCCGGGGCTCCGTACGGAAGAAACAAGCACATTCTCGGAACATCAGTCCGCTCACCTTTCAAATGGGACAAT